CTCGATCCGATTTGATTTGGTGGTCAATCAATGCCAGTAAGAATTCATACGACTTTTGAGGATGTTTGTCTGGCAGCCGATGATAGGCATTCAGACCAAATTCCATCTTCCTGCTCCCTTTGATCTTCCTGTATAGAATATCTCTGAGAGCCAGCATGCTGGGTCTATCCTCGCTCCTCATCTTCAGCAACAAATCATACCACTTGTTCCTGAATACAACCAAATTCTTGTCTCCAGGGAAGTCGAGGTTGAATAAGTGCTCGATGTGGTAGACAAGGTCCGTTCGATCAGACGTCCTGAATGATTGCATGACCAATGCCACCAACTCTCGTCCCTTCACGATCACCCCTTGTTGATGTCGTAGTTCCGAATGTCGCGTAGCGTCGAGGTACACGTCTTTGGCCTCGTCTGGTGCCTGTCTCAACATGTTCTGCATTCCCATGGCCATTTTGATGTCTATTGTAGCGAATCTATCGCCGCCGGAGTCGCTCAGCAAATTGAGGTCTGGGTTTAACCCAAGAGCCTGTTCCAACCATTTCGTCCATGCGTCGGTATCTGGATCTGCGCATGCGCTTAGAACATTCATCAGCAATTGCATTTTCCAGTTGTCGAGCTGATGGATCTTTGGCCAAGGGGGAATAGATACCCTCTCAGCTTCTTTCCTTGAAATCCTCGGTCTCTCGTTCTTGATCTCGCGATCATCCCTCAATCTTCTGCGCCCCCTCCGTGTCCGACTGTCATCTTCTTCTTCTTCCTCGTCCTCCTCATCCTCTTCGTCGTCGTCATCCTCGTCCTCATCATCGGGTGGATCATCTGGAGGTCCTCCCCCACCACCTGTTAGGCTCAATTGACGTCGACCTGGCCCTTGTCGATTTCCATTGGGCGAGAATCCACCGTAATCCAATGGGGGTGTAGTACCGTCGTTTCCCCCTCCATTACCACCACCACCAGTTGTAGTAGCGGATTGTGGGACATGCCCAACAACCCCTTGCATCTGTGATAGGTGTACATCGATCATTGGATCACCGAAAGACGGAAAGAGAATCGAACCTGGCACTAGCGACGAATTAGGGATCAGATTAGGTGATGATGACGGGTATAACCCAGTCACCCTCTTGTCTTCCCTAGTCGAACTAGTTTGGGGTCCTCCCTCAGCGCGTTTCACTACTGCTCGTTCACGATGTCCATCCTTACTGCTCGAGGCTTCCTGTATCTCCAGCTTCTTGAGTGCCCTGAGTTCCTCATTATCCGCATCGAGCTGACGAACGAAGCTCTCTTCTTGTTTGAGCGTCGCCTCCCGCTCCTTCAGTTGTCCCTGAAGTTCGCGCATCTCCTCGAGGTACTCATCATACACTCCTTTAGCTGTCATTCTCCAGTACTCGGCCTCTTTCGATTTCTCGTCCATCGTGCACCGTTCTTCTTGTTTTGCTTCTCTGACCTGGGCCAATTCCAAGATTGCATCTTGACGATGACCACCCTCGATAGCAATCATCTGGTCCTTCTTCGACACGTCGGATTCATACTGTTTGATGATCTCTTCCTTCTCGCGAAGCAAGCATTCTGCTCTTTTTGATTCTTGCTCTGCGAATGTCGTAACGTCGTTCAGTCTCGTCATCAGCTGCTCCCTGGAGTCCTCCATCGAGTACATCTCGGGGCGTTTGACGAGTGCGTGTTCCAACTGTGATTTCAGACTTTGAACCATCTCCTCTTCGTTGAACTTCTCGATAGATGTAGATGACTCAATACCTCTGATCTGTTGCTGGTAAACTGATATCTGTTGTGAAGCCTCACGGTGTATCTGATTTGCATGTATAGCTGATTCCTGTGCGGCCGACTTCTCGCTTGCCATATAGGATCTCATCACTGCAATCTCCCGTTTCTGCTCCATAATAGTTCCCTCAGCTTGTCTCATCTGTTGCATCATAACATTCGACTCCATGTCCTTCTTCTCCCCGTATTGATATGCGTTCATTTCCACCTTGCGCATCTGTTGGGCTTCCTCCTCAAACTTGCGCCAGGCCTCCGCCATATGGTGTTGGTGATGACTCACAAGATGTCCCGATTGCTTGCTGGCAATCTCACATCGTCTCTCCAGCTCTTGGATCCGGATGGTGCTCCCATAGTCTTCTTGATGAAGGTTTGCCATGTCTGCCGACATTTCATCAAGTGTCTTCTGATACTCCCCGATCTCCATCTCCATCTTATTCTTTTCTTTAATCGCGGCGCGAAACTCGGCACTCGTGGGTGATTTGGATCTCCCACCTTTCGATGTCGACCTCACGCCCTTCTGCGACGTCCGCGGTGTCGCAGGCGAAGACGATGATCTTCTCGGTGGAGACCCTCTTTGTTTCGCCTCCTGTTGAACATCGATCTGTTTCCATGACCTTGTAGGTGTGGATATGTCGCTGAATAGTGCGGATCCTCCGCTCCCAGGTTCGTCCTGTGAATCTGCAAAACCAAGTCCATTACCGCAGGAAGAGCCATCAATCCATAGGATCCCTTGAGCTGTCGTTCCCAAAAGTTGCAGTACTTGGGCTCGCTGAAGATGCCATTGCACCGTGTAGGTTATTGTCCCTTTGTAGTTCCTGTACCCGCAATAAACCAGCTGTCTCTCCGTCCAGTGCAGAGCTTGTTGTTACGGCTGATAACCTGTCAGGAAAAAAACAAGGTGACGTCCCGTGGGACGCTGTCCACCGAACCCTCCAGCTGTGTGTACCCAACCACGTAGAAAGGTGTATACGGTCAAACCGTTATAGCTGAACCCGTGTAAACTGTTGTAAGGGATAAGGACCAATAACCACGATGGTGATCCTGGCAGCTGCAGCGCGAATGAGGTACTTTCCACTCTCTATGGTCGATCACGTGCAAACGTAGTTCATGCAAGACCTTGAGCCCTACTTGTGACTTGAGCCAAATGGCAGTCAATGGAACATTATAACCAACAATAACACAGACCTCAGAACAGCTTCCCAATTTAGGCACGGGGCCAGGAGGGTTTTAACACCAACAACGAACCAACCCACCAATCAACCAACCGACCGAGCAACCCACCAACGAACCAACCGACCAACCGACCGACCCACCAACCAACCGACCGACCAACCCACCAACCGACCAACCGACCAACCAACCGACCCACCAACCAACCGACCAACCCACCAATCAACCAACCAACCGACCGACCAACCGACCAACCGACCAACCAACCAACCGACCAACCAACCGACCAACCAACCAAGCGACCAACCGACCAACCAACCAACCCACCAACCAACCGACCAACCCACCATTCAACCAACCAACCGACCGACCGACCGACCAACCAACCAACCGACCAGCCGACCAACCGACCAACCAACCAACCGACCAACCAACCGACCATCCAACCAACCGACCAACTGACCAACCGACCGACCAACCAACCAGCCGACCGACCAACCGACCAACCGACCAACCAACCAACCGACCAACCAACCAACCATCCAACCAACCGACCAACTCACCAACCAACCGACCAACCAACCAACATCAGCCAACCAACCAACCAACAAACCAACCAACCAACCAACCAACCAACCAACCAACCAACCAACAGACCAACCCACCAATCAACCAACCAACCAACGCACCCACCCACCAACCAACCAACCAACCAAGCAACCGACCAACCGACCAACCAACCGACCAACACCAACCGACCCACCAACCAGCCGACCAACCCACCAATCAACCAACCAACCAACGCACCCACCCACCAACCAACCAACCAACCAAGCAACCGACCAACCGACCAACCAACCGACCAACACCAACCGACCCACCAACCAGCCGACCAACCCACCAATCAACCAACCAACCAACGCACCCACCCACCAACCAACCAACCAACCAAGCAACCGACCAACCGACCAACCAACCGACCAACACCAACCGACCCACCAACCAGCCGACCAACCCACCAATCAAACCAAACCAACCAACGCAACGCACAAACCAAGCGACCAACCAACCAACCGACCAACCGACCAACCAGCCAACCGACCAACCGACCAACCGACCAACCGACCAACCGACCCACCGACCCACCAACGCACAAACCAAACAACCAACCAACCAATCAACCAACCAACCAACCAACCAACCAACCAACCAACACACCAACCAACCAGACAACCGACCAGCCAAACCCAACAACCAACCAACCAACCAACCAACCCCAACCAACCAACCAACCAACCAAACGACCCACCGACCAGCCAAACAGCCACCAGCCAACCAACCAACCAACCAACCATCCAACCAACCAACCAACCAACCAACCAACCAAGCAACCAAGCAACCAAGTCATCAAGCAACCAAGCAACCAAGCAACCAGGCAACCAGCCAACCGGCCAACCGAACAACCAACCGACCAACCGACCAACCAACCAACCAACTGACCACCCGCCAATTAACCACTGAACCTCCAACCCACCAACCCACCAACGCTCCCACCCACCAACCCACCAATCCACCAATCCACCAACCAACCAACCAACCAACCCACCAACCAACCAACCAACCAACCAACCAACCAACCAACCAACCAACCAACCAACCAACCAACCAACCAACCAACCCACCAACCAACCAATCATCCAACCAACCGACCGACCAGCCAGCCAACCAACCAACCAACCAACCAACCGACCAACTGACCAACCGACCGACCAACCAACCAGCCGACCGACCAACCGACCAACCGACCAACCAACCAACCGACCAACCAAGCCACCAACACAGCAATCAACCAAAAACCAACGCACAAGCTAACTAAGCAACCGAGGCTATCAGGTCCCAACGTCTGGGTTCTGTCTTGCACAGTATGCGTTTAGGGGTTTCTCCATATTTTTTGGACCACGAATCACTTTGTTCGGTTATCGTTTTGGTTCCCTCCCCACAAAAGATGCTCCCGTCGAAAGCACGGCCCCATGAGAGACACCTGCCCATCACCGAGGCGCCAGATTGCACCAAAGCCTCTCGAAGTAGGTCCTTACGTGCCCGTTGCGCAGGGTGATACAAGGGAAGGGGGAAGCCTGAAATTGGGCCACCTTCCTGGGTTGTTTCAAGGAGAAAGGAACAAGGAAGAGAAAAACAAAGATGAAAAAGATGAAACATGTGGTTAAGCAACAGACTGAGTTTATACAATATTTGAAACGATGCTTAAATGAAAAGTCTGGCACACACTGAAAAAGTGCTTCAAGACTGCTTCAAGGTGACAAGTGCGAGTGGAAAAAGGGAGACCAGTCTGTTTCACGAAAGGACAAAAGCACCTGGAACGTTCCACTTCAGTGCAAACTGACATGGAACCCTAAGGGGCCCTTTCTTAAACAAGAGATTCCTCTACAAATGTCTGTTTGTTGGGATTCCATGTTTCTGCCGGGGAAAATAATATGACGACGGACATACACGTAGAAACAAGTCAGGAAACTATGTGGAAAGCTGAAAATTGTTGAAAGTGTACGTTGGTCAGCATATTATATCTCATTTGGTTGTGTCAAAAATTGTGATTCAGAAAATGGGCGGTGGTCTGTTGGTTCCCCTTTTAAAACAACCCGAAAAAGAGGATCCTCAAAAACCCCCCCCCCCCATTTTCTCCAGGCATCTCATCCCACAGGATGAGCATGCGACTCGAGCGGGCCACGAACACGGGCAGTGCTGCAATCTGTTCCGCCTGGGTCCGAAGGAGGCGGCTCGCAACAGGCTGTCATGGATTTTGTTTACCTTCAGCCTGGAGACTGGCATCCTTTCATACATGTGCTTGTGCGTGTGTGCGTGCTGCGTGAATGCGGGTGTGTTTGTTTGAGTGTGTTTCTCTAAGTGCGTATGTGTGTGTGTGTGAATGTGTGAATTTGTGTCAATGTGTGTGTGTGTGTGAGTGTGTGTGTGCGCGCGAATGTGTGTGTGTGTGTGAATGTGTGCGCGTGTGAGAGTGTGTGAATGTGTGTGTGTGTGTGAATGTGTGTGTGTGGGAATGTGTGTGTGTGTGAATTTGTGAATGTGCGTATAATGTGCGAAAATGCCGGTGGATGTGTGGTGCACTTGAATGTGTGTGTGTGAGAGAAAATGGGTGTGTGAGAACGTGTGTCAACGTGTGTGTGTGTGTGCGTGTGTGCTTTTGTGTGTCTGTAAATGTGTGTGTGTGTGCGCGTAGATGTGTGTGTGTGAATTTGTGTGAATATTTTGGTGTGTGTGTGTGTGTCTGTGTGTGTGTGCGTGCATGCGCGTGAAAATGTGTGTTTGAATGTGCGTGTGTGTGTGTGTGTGTGAATGTGTGTGTGCAAAAGTGCATGAATGTGAGTGGATGTGTGTGTGTGTGTGTGAATGCGTGTGAGTGCGTGTACATGTGTGTGTGTGTGTGTGTCAATGTGTGTGTGTATGTCTGAGGATGTGTGTGTGAATGTGTGTGAGAATGTGTGTGGGCGTGCCGGTATGTGTGTGTGTGTGTGTATGTCTTTGTGTACTTGCTTGGTTGTTTGCTTGCTTGCTTGCCTGCTTGCTTGCTTGGCTTGTTGGTAATTTTCTGTGTTTGTGTGTTTGTGTGTGTTTGTGTGTTTGCATGTGTGCGTGGCTGTGTGTTTGCGTGGGTGTCGTGTGTTTGTGTGTTTGCATGTTCGTGTGCCTGTGTGTGTTGTGTCTTTGTGTGCTGTTGTTGTGTTTACGTGTTTGATTGAGGTTTTTGTTTGCTTGCTTTGGATTGTTTGTTTGATTGCATATTTGCTTGCTAGTCTGTTTGCTTGTTTGCTTGTTTGTTTGTTCAAACGTTCGTGTGTTCGATCGTTTGATTGATTGCTTGTGTGTGTGTTTGTGTAATTGAGTGATTCAGTGATTGTGTGTTTGTGTTTGTGTGTTTGTGATTGTGTGTTTGTGTGAATGTGTGTTTGTGTGAGTTGTTTGTTTTTTTGTTTAATTGATTGATGTTGTGTGTTTGTGTCATTGTCTTTTCGCGTGTTTGTGTGTTTGCGTGTTTGTGTTTGTGTAATTGTGTGTTTATGTATGGGTGGGTGGGTTGGTTGGTTGGTTAATTGGTTGGTTCGTTGGTTCGTTGGTTCGTTGGTTGGTTGGTTCGTTGGTTGGTTGGTTTGTTGCTTCGTTGCTTGGTTGCTTGGTTGCTTGGTTGTTTGGTTGCTTGGTTGCTTGGTTGCTTGGTTGCTTGGTTGCTTGGTTGCTTGGTTGGTTGATTGGTTGGTTTGGTTTGGTAGGTTTGGTTGGTTTGGTTGGTGGGTGGGTGAGTGGGTTGGTTGGTTGGTTCGTTGGTTCGTTGGTTCGTTGGTTCGTTGGTTCGTTGGTTCGTTGGTTCGTTGGTTTGTTGGTTCGTTGGTTCGTTTGTTGGTTCGTTTGTTGGTTGGTTGGTTCGTTGGTTGGTTGGTTCGTTGGTTCGTTGGTTCGTTGGTTCGTTGGTTGGTTGGTTCGTTGGTTCGTTGGTTCGTTGGTTCGTTGGTTCGTTGGTTTGTCTGTCTGCTTGTTTGTTTGTTTGGTTGCTTGTTTTGTTTGTGTCTGTGTGTGTGCTTGTGTTTGTGTATGTGCGTGTGTGTGTGTGTGTTTGTGCTTGTGTGTGTGTGTGTTTGTGCTTGTGTGTGTGTTTGTGCTTTTGTGTGTGTGTGTGTGTTCGCTTGCCTGCCTGCTTGTTTGTTCATTCGTCTGTTTGTTTTCTTGTTTGTTTGTTTGTTTGTTCGTTTGCACGTTTGTTTGTTTCTCTGCTTGCTTGCGCGTGTCTTTGTGTGAGGTCCGGCGCTCGTTTTGAGAGGGGGAACCACTGAAAAGAAGAGTTCCCTTGCGCACGCACCCAAATCCCAAAGAAACTCATTTTGCCAGGGGAAACCGCCACCATTTAGGTTACTTGAGAAGCCAAGGACTTTGGAAGCCCAAACCGAATCACACTATCCAAAAGTCGCGCCTTGAGTCCCATGTCAGTCTGATGGATGCAGAGCTTGTCGACCCAAACGGAAGGCGACCGCCTTTCACCTGACTCTCCAGGCGAGGGTCGGTGGACTGGTCTGAAGGACAAAGATTCTGCGATAGTTGTTTTTACTTTCTTTCTGCTGTGTTTCAAGAAAGGTATAAACATCACGTGAAATGTCGATCACGCGCGACTTTTCTCAAGTTGACCAACGATCCCGTGGAGCATTGGGAGTCGCGAGCAATTTTGCCGCCGGCTACTCACAGGCCTCCTTTTTTCTGGGGGAGTACCTGGAACTGCCCCTGAAAACATAGATCTCCAATTCCTGCCAATTGGAAAACCGAGACAATACCAGCTGGTTCGAAAGGTCTCCATACGTCGGTGATTTTTAGGTGCGTCCTGAAAAAATATTTGGCCCGCTTTGGAGGAGGCTTAAATCAACAGCCAGTTTGACCTCCGTCCCTGGGTCCAGATTTTCAGACCTCCGGTTCTACGTTCACGTTCAACCGGGAGAAGAAAAAAGGTGAGAGGTCACTGATTGGCCGGATTTCTTCTTCATGCTCCAAGCCTTTCCGCTTTTTCAGGTCGATCACGGGCTGTGTAAAAGCAGTACCCAACGAGGGCGAACAAGGGATCTCCGTGGACTGCCGGGTCGCAATCGCTTGGACCTCGGCCGAGTCCTCTAGAACCAGGGCTTTAACGTTCACCACCAAGGGGGTTCCCTGACACCGCTTGGATAGCAGGCAAAACCATACTTCGCCAACTCCAGGCCCCTGTGTCTATAGACATATGTATACAGTACGTGTAGAAATATGGATGTATGTGTATATGTACTGCCAGGCTGCAAAGCTTTTGCCCGAAGAAGAAGACGGCAAAGAACCTGACCACGCCGGAGTTGAACCCGACAACACATCAGCCCAGATCCAGGTGGCTCCTTCTCTTTTAGGACGTTCTGGTGGGCTTTTAAAGATGTCCGAACCAAAAAACAACACACCAATTTCCCCACACACAAAAGGATTCTTGTCAGAATCTTGTTGGCTTCCATGTTGATCTGGGGAGCGATTGGCCCGGTCTGTTTGGGTCTGTTTGGCGGCCGCTTTAGTCGAAACGTGTGTTCGGGTGGCAGTTCCGGCCCTTGGGACTATGCAGAAATGCGTGAACATGCGCCCACCACACACATCTTGGGAAACCTCACACATTTCGGCGCCAACTCACGGCACTTCAAGGCAAACCAAAACACAGTTATTACTTCAAAACCAACCAAAAGAATCCGGCTGACACTCGCCAAGGCGGGCAGCGCGAAGCGTTTACAATAACAGCTCAAAGCGTCTTCCTTACCAAGACTTGTCTGGCGCTCTTCTTGTTTTGAAGAAATCGTGCGTGTATAAATTTATATATATATATGCATAACCAAAAGAAAACCCTATACGCGCCCATTGGGAACTTCACTCGGGACTCCAACCGACTTTTCGAATATCCAAGGTGCACGGTCATGGGCAGGTACACCAAGCAGGGCATCGCGAGCGAGCTCCCGCCCAAGCCGGTCATCCCCTGAACCGCTGGCTTCACGAAAGGGGAAAAACAGAGGGTGGCGGGGGTGGGCGGCGCTTGTTACGGGCGTGTCACAACATGGGGCGAAGCTCTTTTCGTTGAACAAAGGGGAAACCCAAAGTGGGTGCAGCTGGAAACAACTCCAAGCGCTCTCTCACAAAATTTAGGTGATGATTTGTTGCCTCCCCTTTGAGTCAACACTTTGGAGGATCATCATGTCTTGCCAAAATGGCACCTGTGGTCTTCATACATCCAAAGGCCCCCCCTCGGCTGGTAGATCCCTCCTTGCCAACCGGAAAAGCGGTCGAGGTATTGTTTTGAGGTGCGCCATCGGCTGACGGGGGGAGGTCGGTCGGTTTCTTTTGGCTCGCAATAGCTTTTGCTTAAGAGTCAGGAGTGGCTCGCTACAAGAAATGGCGGGGTACCGGCACAGTGACAAGAGCGAGTGGAGGGCAACATCCCCAGCATCACCGGACTCACAGGTCTGAGGCCCACGCTGTGTTGCAGGCCTGGCTTCAAACCGCTTAAGTTCTTGCGGCAGGATTAGACAGGGCTTGTCAAGGTGTTTTTTTTGGTTCGTTTGGGGGGCTAGCTGGGGCGTGACCACCTCTTGGCAGTAGCTTTGCTTGGCTTAGCGTTGCTGAAGAGGTGTGTTATCTTTATTATGCTGGTTTGATAGTTTGGTGCAACGCGCCAAAACCAGGCCCATGGTTTCTTTCAATGTTCCGGCAGTGATCTAGAACAACCAGCCAACCCACACACCCACCAACCAGCCAGCCGGCCAACCAACCAACCAACCAACCATCCGCCTGAGCCACTCCTAATCGCCAGTTTGAAACGGCACCTCCATCAGGGCAGGTGTCCAAAAACCAGCCGCAGTCGAATGACGCGGTTGCAGCTGGTTGCCCTGAAGCGAAAACCTTAATTTGTATCCCCACTGGCAACGGTTCGCCAACCAGCGGTCTCCAGCACTAGACGTTCTGACAAGGGTCACTGCCGGAGCCGAATCGCGGCGAAACGGCCCGAAACGCGTCAAGTTGGGAGAGGTCTGCGCTGAGTTGTCCCCCAAAAAAAAAGTCGGTGTATTTTCATTGTGTTAGCCACGCGTGTAGCAGTCTGTATGCATAAATCTGTGCAAACAATGGAATGTTGTTTGCTCTCTAGTCCATGAGAGCTGTTTTCAACCTCTCATTCTGCCCTATGTCCGAACCAACCGGCAATGAGTCCAATGATGTTCACTACTTTGATGGCACAGTGATGAAATTGACCTCTTCTCTGCTTTTAACTCTGCCTACAAGATGGCCTCCAGAATCATAACCTTGATCTGCCAGCACCGTTTGGTCTGAAGCAAAACATCTGCCAGGGGCACTACGATCAAGCGGACAGATGATGCAACCATCTTGAAACATTTGTGCTTCTCTGAGAAAGTGAAGTTCGCGCAGTTTATGGCGAGGCCCAGGCGGCCCAAGTCAGTATCGGTCCCAACTAACCCTCAGCAAATGCAACATTCCAAACACACCTCGACAGCTTTAGGAAATCCATGAACCCAAACAAAAACCTCTGTAAATGCAAGATTCCCAAAAAACCTCAAGAATTCCCAAAAATCCAAACATACCCAAAATCCACTAGGCCAGGGATTGAAATTCAAAAAAAAAACTCGAGATGTTTGGAATTCCCTGAACAGTCAAAAACACCGACAGTAAATTCAAGATTCTCGGAAAACCCTTGATTTTTTTGGAATTCCCTAACATTCAAAAAAATACAACCTCCAGTGTATGCACGATTCCACGAAAAAAACAAGCCTACATTTCGGAAAATATTGCATTTACTGAAAATGTCTTTGTTTTTTAGAAAACTCCACAAAATGTTGTTCATTTTTGAGAATCTTGCATTTGCTGATGTGGTTTCTTGAATTTTGGGAGATCTTGCATTTACTGAGGGGTTTTTGGGAACTTCCATCCCAGACATAGTGCTGAGACTTTGGATGTTGTTGTTTTTTGGTAGTTTGGGATTTGTGGGATTCTCGAGTTGTTTTTCGGGAATCTTACTGATGTGTTCTTTAAGGGGGTTTTTTTTCGGCGAACTCCCACACATCTTGCGGTTCTTCGCATCAAACCAACACAGATTTATCATGAGATGCCACTGATGTTTTTGCCTTTTTCAAGGACGGCGGAAACTCTCAGCGCCCACTTTCAGTCCAAAAGATATCAAGTTGTTTTGGAAATTTCAATCCCCGACATAGTTACTGTGATTTTGGATGTTTCTTTTTGTTAAGCATTTTGGGAATGTTGGCAACGGAATTTCAGTTGGGAATTCTAGAGGTTTTTGTGGAATCTTGCATTTACTGGAGGCTTGTTGCTTGAATTTTAGAATGCAAAAAAATATATCGAGGTTGTTTGCAAAAATATGGAGGGTTTTCGCGAATTGTGCATGTCCCAAAACAGAACTATACATATATATATATATATGAAAAGCATAGTTTGAGCATTTGTCAAGGACGCGGAAAAGCTCAGCGCTCACCGCTTTCAGTCATAAACCCGCGCCGATCGGCAGTTGAGTTTGTGTCGCTCGGCGCGATGTTAACGGTCTTCCCTATCGGCCGGGAAGCGTGGTGGAACCGTGCGGTTGCCTCAAGACTGGGACTAAAGAAATCGGCGGTCAATGGATGGACCAACTCCATGTCGCAACTTTGGGATCACATACCAACAAATCAGATTTCAGGCGACCCTTGGTTGGTGGTTTCGGTTGGCGGCTTGAGGATTTGAACCTCTGGCAACCCACCAATCCAAAGGACTAGAGGGAAGCTGAGTTTGTCTTTGTTGTTTTTCCGCTCAACATACATCGGCCCTAGGGGAACAAAAAACAACGTCTTGTCCGAACTCATGAAAAACCTGGCTGTGATGTTTGTGAGTGTCGAGGGCAAAGGGAAGCCTTAAAGCAAAACCTGGTGGGGGAAACTAGGGCAATCTTTCTGGGGGTTGTGTAGTGATTTCGGGGGAAGGGGACGCGGGTGGACGAGCGGAAGGAGGGGGGCCTTTCACCAAATTTGGGTGTGGCTCAAAATTAAACAGGGGACTTACCAGGGCAACCCATTTTGGTACCGGTTTTTTGAGCCACAGCCAAATGATGGCCCTTCAAGCTTCTTATTTGGCTGTGGGTCAAAAATGAGTACCCGTTTTGGGTACATGGAACCCCCCTCCCCATTCAGGCTGGGGAAACCTGGGCCAAAATAGGAACTTGGGGAAACCCTTTTTGCGGATTGCTTTTAAGGGCAGCCAAAGGAAACAACGAATCTCGGTTGGAAACCTAAGTTGCAAACCTAAGGGAAACCTGAGCTGAAAACCCCACGGAAACCTAAGGCAAATCGTTTTGACCTTGAGAACCTGAGTTGAAAACCAGATGGAAACGAAATATCACCATGGCTTAAAAAAGAAAGAGAATGGAAACCAAGACACCCTGGAGCCCAGCAGTGCCGCTATCGCCACACCGCAGGTTCCCAAAGAACAGCTCACGGCCAGGTCCAGGTTGAAGAACCTTGCCGACCGACCGCTAGGTCCATTTGGATGCGGCTCAACATTCAAGCGCTAAGGCAAACCAGGGGTCTTTGTCTCCATTTACCAGGGCAAGCCATTTTGGGGAGTCCATTTTTGAGCAGCCATTTGGGTGTACACTTTGAGGCCAGCGACAGATCCAGGACATTCTTCTTTGACGCAGCCTGTGGTCAGCGAGATAGAGAGAAAAAGAGAGACGATGCGTTTTTGAGACGAAGCGTACACGGGTCCCAATACGTGGAACAAGGTTGAGGCAGGCGCCTTTAGGCCACATTTAGACCTTCTAGGAATCAACTATTAGCAATGTTGGGTTTGTTTTCTGTTCTAAACATGAACCCATTTCAGTACACATTGATTTCCTCTCTCAACAAGTCTAAGCCAGGCCTTTGACCGTGGTGCTGGGTGGCGTTGCATCAGTCCCAAACATGCGGTTTTGACAGATCGAAGGGTGGCACCGTCTAAGAAATCCTTAAAAAGTCTCTTATTATGGCACACCCACCAATCAGAATCAACCAGGCGTTTCGTAATTGAGCACTTTCAATTTGCCTCAAAATGGCGGTTTAAACAGAAAAACTTCACAATCCATCATGTAGCATATTCTTTCTTTGTTCGTCGAACACCTACGAACAAAGGCCAAAAAAAAACAGGCTAACTTGTTGGCCAGGTGATGCCTTTTCGGTGATGCCTTTTGGAGCGGTCCACCCTTTTGCGGACGTTAGTTGAGGGTTCATGGCCCAAGAGAGTCTTTGCTCGCCAGCCCCACACTTGTTGCTTGTCTTACCTTCTGTCCAACCATCATAGAAGTTTATGCTTGGGGCAGGTTCAAGAGTTCGCCTCCCCTCCACTTCCATGTCGCAAAGAGGGTCGCTTGAAAACCCAAAAAAATATTCAGTTGGACCTTCCAATTCTTGTGGTTGCCGTCCAACCAAATATGCGGTACAACTCATGACGGTCGTTGGAAAAGTGGCAAAGGTGTAGAAAGGCTAGGGGTACAATCCCCGGTCAAAAGGCAACCCAGTCAGTTCCTTTTAAGGACCTGACACTGGCTCAGTGTCAGGTCAAATCTGTGGGAACTACCTTTCCACTTCTGTTGGGTCTGTCTTTCTTTTAGGGAACTTTCAAAAATGTGGTTTCCCTTTGGGTTCCCTTTAAAAACACCAAAGCGGGGGTGCCCTCAGGAAAACGCATACCCGTATCACTTCAAGGCGTTCACAACCACTTCGGCTTTTGGGGGGAAACAGTCCCTCAGAAGTTGGGCTTCGTAAACCCTCCCCACGACCCTGTTGATTAGTGAACAAGGGGAAGAACAATTGCACATGAACAGCATAGAACGTCAAAAACAATGACCCCGCCCTCCGCCATCCCCAACCAAAAATCCGATGCCAACCAGCAATACTGAGGGAACACTGCACCTGGTTTCCTTCAGTATTGACAGACAATTTTCGAGTCGGGTAAACAGTACCAAACATCCCGTTGCTCCCTCACGGGTTACCCGAGAACAAGGCCACGGAGTTCCGTTTCTTGACCAAAACCCAGCGGGTCATTTCCCATGGAACCAATTTGGGTAGCTGACAACAAATGAGACCCTGCCCAAGCATCCATCCCCTCATGCGCTCATGGGCTTTTGCAGGTGTGGCTTCTGAAGGTAGGGAGGTTGTATACCACTTGTAGAAGGGGTATACACTGCCTTACAAGCTGAAACAGGTGGTATACATCTGCGCATCCATAGCCCCAAAACCAAAACTGAGAATCAAAACCCGGTATACTAAAACGGTGTACTCGCAACCATGTAAGGAATCAAGAAGGCGGATATCCGCGTTGCTATTTACGGCCAGGGGACTGTCCCTTACGAACCTTCATCTACCCGGGCTCTGAGCCCGTGTATGGCCATGGGTCAAAACCCCTTTGTTAGCCCCCCTGAACATCCAAAATGGTTTCTAAAATGGGTGGTGAATCCACCCAATCCAACCAAAATGGTACCATTGTTGTTCACCCACGGCCATTTATGGTTGGGATTGTCCCTTACCTTGGTACATGGGAGTGGCACATGGGTGGTGCACCTACCCAACCCATGCCGATGCCCCGCCCCGCTCCAAGCAGCAAACACAGAGCCAGGAACTTCTGCCAGCGGCCTGCGCTCCAGGAGTGGCCGATGAAGACGTCCACCCGGTCCGTCTCTGCAGATGCACGAAACAGGACATCCCCCGCAAGCTGCACCTGAGCTCCGTTCAAAGACACAAATGGGGGAAATATGGGGGGCAAGAGCGGATTTAGGACACCATAAAAATGTCAGGCGCCTTTTCTCAGGTTTTCGGCAGGGCCCCTATTTTCACACATACCCAGATGCACAAGTTGAACGGGCTTGGTTCCTTCAACACATCCAGAACCACCTGATCTTTTATCTGGCCCAAATGTAGGTAGACACGGGTCATTCTGTTGACCCAAACATTGCACCAGAGGAACAACCCGACTAAACGGAATGGAGATGGAATGACCGCAACCTGGGCAAAGGACATACACTTACTAAGTTATACAAGAATGGAGTGTTGGCCAATCCTAATCCATAAAATCCCTTTAACACCACAAGCTTCTTCCAAGGCAAGTTCATTCGAGCGCGACTTACCCGCGAGGCCTGCTGCTTGGTGGGGCAGCGCATGGATTCGACGGGAGCCGCTGCAAGCAGCGAGCTGAGGCTCCCGTCAAAGATCATGCCGAAGCCTTCGACTGATGGGCCGAATGTCATGTTTGGGGTTGAGACATTGATCTGAGCTACAAAGTAGGCGACCTGGTGGAAAGCCTTAAAGGATTCCTTTTGGTTGATTCCTTTTTTTTCATTTCCGTTCAGCCATGGGTCTTTTCAAAAACCGGATCCGTTTCCCCAGGGTTCTAGGTGGTTTTCTAGAAAGAAGGATCCCTGGAAAGAATGGGGAAGTTGCCCCTAGAATGTTGGGTAACCTTGTTAATGGAGAAATGCTCCCCCAAACAAATGTGACTTCTCGCCCCACCTTGCCCCCCCCCACATTTCGTGGGGACCCCCCCCTATCAGCCAGGGCTTTTAGTAAATCCGACGACGCCTCTGCCTCCGATCAGAACAGAACGGCTTCCACTTCACCGGACCCGGATTTGGCGAAAGGAGAGCCCTTCCGAAGCAAAGGGACACCCAGGCGGCTCGCCCTTTCTGTGTGGGGAAATTTCTTGAGGGCCAGTGAACGAAACCAGCGGACTTAGCTCTCCAGACATCCTTTCGGAGAAAGCTGATACAAACTCAACTGCCGAATGAAATCAGTGGACTTCGAGCGCATCTGCTCTGCAAATCAACGCAAGGACCAACGACGGGGTCCATTCTGCAGAAGCAACTTCCTGTAAAGACTTCCAAAGATGACGTTGATCTGGCGAGCAATTGGTCTTAGCTCACCATGGTACAAAACAGAACCCTTCGGAAGTTCGACCAAACTGACATGCCTCCATCTTGTTGAGCCTCATATGCCCCATGCCGAATGCTTCCCTTCACATTGACGTGTTTTTTTTTGCATTTTGTGGATGACTTAAATCCCCTTCGCATTGGTCTCGGTTTTGATCAACCAGTATTCAGATTGAGCTTCCTTCATCCCAACTGAGCAAGGCTCTTGGAAGGGTCTGTGCATAGACTTTGGCTGAATCATGATCAAACCCTGGTACACAAATAGAGAACCCGAAACCATGTAAAGAATTACCCGGGCGGCCGCGATTCTGTTTATATCCTTGGGGTTGTCCCCTACCTTCATTTACCCGGGCTTCAATTGTAGCTTAGAAATGGTGCCAGCCAAGCTGCAGGGGCCCAAAGTCTCTTTGGGGTGCCCGAAATACGACCTTAAGTGACGGCCTGAGGACACCAACAGAAGGGAGAGTGGGATGGTCTACCTTACCATGGCCGAGTGAACATCTTAAAAGGTTCTCAAAATGGCGAACCCGGTGAACCCCTTTTCCCGTGTGAGGTAAATCATTTACCTCACACAGGAAACGGGGTTCACTGGGTTTGCCATGTTGAAATGCAAAAGGGCAAACTGGTCCTCGGTGACAAAAGTTGTGGTAAAGATCTGGTCTTTTCCCGGGTTTTGATTGTCGGTCGAACATCTGAGTATCTTTCAAAATTGGGGACGACCAAAAAGACCGCAGATTTTCTGGTGGGGTTTCACCCCAACCATCTCGAGGGTGCTGAGGCTCCTGAGTGTCCTGCATGCCGAGTTGCAATTGTCGTCTCGCCTTCCCTTCTACCCCCTTCACCCCAACCCAAACGCCCAGGGATTTGGCCAGAGAAGTCCCCTTTTCAACCTGTTTGGGCCCAATCTCTAAAGCTTGGGGTCAGTTCCAAGTTAACCCGAGGCACCCATAAGCACCCTTCGCGCCGTGGCAGCCCGGAAGTGCCCGGACCTCGCAACCTGCCAACTTCGCATCCGGCTTTCCATTCTTACCCTGTTCGGGCAGTGTGTAACGGGAAGCCAACATGAAACGAACCATTTTGGGGGGCAAGCTTTGTCAAAACGGCACACTCATACGGGGCCTTAGAGGAAGTTTAGCTAGGAAACACCCGGAAGACGAAAAGCTGAAAGTGTCAAGCAGGCGTCGATGACGCAAGACATACGAATAAAGGAGATTCAACACAAGCGAAGAGCGCGGGAGGCGAAGCATTTCGTCTTCCGATGTCGCGAAGGTCTCGGTTTAGCGCACGGGCTCTCGCCTCGAGTTTGCCGCGCGCGCAATGCTTCGGCGTGCGTCGCGCGATGCAGCCTCAGGGATCGTGCGCGCGCTGAAGCCAGCGTTCTCGCTGCGGCGCCCGCAAATTTGCAAGTCGCTGGACGAATCCTCTGCCGGGATCGAGCGTGTCGAAGCTTCTACCAGTTCGGGCTTCGCAAGTCCAGGAACCCAATTCATTTCCTATAGGCACATCATTGGTTACAAGCTTTCGTCGAAGCTGGAGCCTACCTGGTATGGGGTCGTATGAGTGTTTCTTGAAAGGGATTTACCCAAAAGGGGTTCCCTTAAAACAACACACCCATATGCGTCTGGTTCACTCATTTCGAGGCTCACCAATTTTAGACATTGGTTTAGGCCGGCTGAGGGAAAAACATCGATATCGCTTTTTGGGGGTCCCCCCCCCATTTTTAGACACAGTCATGCAACTCCAACCAAAGCCTTTGGTTGCTGTTGGCATTTGGACCCGGGCCCAAACGCGCTGCTCCGGGCAAAAAAAATACACGAGTTGATCACCATGCGCCCAGCTGGGATCCTTCTGCTCAGCTAGAGGGAGCCATCCCAAAAAAAATCAAGCTAAAAAGGCTATTTCCCCCAGCTAAGGGTTACCCTTTCCTTTTCCTCTCCGGCCAAGGAACCCTTTTCTTGTTTAAGGGCCACCCTTTTCCAAAAAATGTTCTCCCCCACTCGCCTGGTCAAAGGAGTTGGGGCTCCGAAGTCGGCAGAGCCCATGGCCGACTCCGTGGTCCGGTGAGACAGACATGCGCGAAAGGCTGTTAAAGCCACAACCAGGCTGCAAAGGAACGTGGAGTCTCCTTGACGCCACCTTCTTAGTTGGGGCCCCTGCATTCTCCTTCTTGGTTGGGGATGGTGCTTAGTTCACTCCTTGGAGCTGAAAAAGTACCTCCGGGATGTCCCTTACTTGAAGCTGGAAAAGAACCCCTGGAAATGTCCTTCTTGCTCGGGCTACAATTTTGATTCTTATAGTGCGTTCTTTCTAGTCTTCTATTTCTTTGTATAGATTCTTCTATTTTATTCTATAGACAGTTGTATTTTCTTCCGTTCAATCTTCTATTTCCTTTTTATATATTATTTTTTCCTTCCATTGTTTGCTTTACTTTATTTCCTTTTATAGACTCTTCTATTTCTATTGACAAAGTCTTCTACTTCTACTTTTAGAGTGTTTATTTCTTTCTCGAGGCTCGTTTGTTTCACATATACGTCCTTTCTCAATTTCCTCCCTGCAAACATTCACTTTTAATCAACTGTTCGGAGGTTCCCTGTACCTCCCCCTTACAGATATGTCCGGGCGGCTGCTTTGTACAGGGTACAAAGTGACAGAAATAACTTGGGCGTTTGCGGCCTCAGGTGGTTCTGGTGGTCAGGATTGGCTTGGTATTAGCTTAGTCGAAGTTTGTATCTTGTATTGCCAGGGTTTGTTCTCACGTATTCTCCCCTCAGCCCCTGACGGGCAGCCTATTTTCTAATCACTATCCAACGTCAAGGCAGGATCACAAAACAATGTCTCACTCCACTAAACACACCAGTGCCGAAATAAACACCAACCGGGAACACCGCAGGTTCCATGCGCAAAAAGGCACCAAGCTAATTTGGCATCATACAGGCACACGTTCAGGGCTGTGGGGCCACTTGCGACCCCCCATCCAGTCATTGCAACCCTGCGCCACTTGCGACCCGTTCGGTCACTTGTGACCCGAAATCGGCCGACCCGTCAAGTCTGGGAGGTGCTTGGAGAGGGGGGGGGTGTTTCGTTTGTTACACAATTGATCTCCCGCAACCATTTGGCTCAAGGCCCTTTCTGTATCATAGCAATACTCATGATTTTTGCAGGCCGCTTACAGGATTATCCACAATACAATCCACCAGGGACAATCCATCCCCCAATCATCCATAGTGGCATATTGGATTCTCTCCGGAATAGATCCAGGGACCTAAACAACTACCACAGGTCCCTTCCGGGGATAGGCAGTCTCATCGACCGCTCAGGACTACGTAGCGCTTACCACCGCCAGTCTTGCTGACTCGGCGCCCTTATCCTGACCTTGGGGGCGCCTCCGGGAGTCGAACCCATGTAGCGGAGCGGGTTTTCCGCAGAGATCCAAGGGAAGATGTCATCCGATGGAGAAGGCTTCATGGAAGCCTATTCGAGTATGACCAGGCTATACGGAGGAAACTCTCAATTTATCGATGACCGCCAAGCAGCCGCCATCGTACGACGGAAAAGTCAGCTGGGTCAGGTATGAAGAACTCGTGGACGACTGGGTGACAATCACTACGGTTGAAGCACTGAAGAGAGGACCACTACTCAAAAGCAGACTCGCCGGAGATGCATATATGTATAAGGCAGTCCTCCAAAATGACCTTTTGCAAGATCCTGACGAAGGAGTCAACTACTTCAAGAACACGCTGAAGAAGTACTTTTTGAAAGGTGCGACCAACGTGTATCTGTACAGGCTCCTCAGTTTCTTCAATCATCGACGGCAGAACCAAGGGTTCCTCATTTTTACCTCAAAATTCGAAATCCTTCTTGTGAGATTGAAGGCAGCATGGATGGACTTGATGCCAGTTTTTACGGCACAGCCCCCATCATTTCGACAGTCCGTACAAGACGCAAACGCAAGAACAATTCCTCGACATCAGCAAGCAGCCGGTGTTCGAGCACCGCCTCCAGCCCTGCTCAATGAGGATGATCCAACAGTGCTCAGACAATATATCACAGGAATGCAGGACAGACAGCGGGACGCATTTCCCTTCGGGGATAGTCTCATTGCACAGTTTTTCATCATTCAGAGTGAATTGTCAGATCAACAAAGAGAGAGACTGACAAGTGCATTGAGAAATATCTCACTAGAGAACTACTCCTATGAGATGCTGAAGACACACTACCATGAACTCTTCATCACAACCAGGACATCCATTCAAGATCCATCCATCCGACCTCAAGGAGGCAACCGAAGCAACACATTCTTCATAATCGAACAAGGTGAATATGAAGGAGAAGAAGGCTTCTGGGTTGAGGATGAAGAAGGACTTGAAGGATTCATGTCAAACAACGATGAAGAGACATTCTGGGTCCTCGAGGAGAACGATGCGTTCATAGCAAGAAAAGTGTCGGGGCGGAACTTCAAATTCAAGAAGAACAAAGGAAAAGGAAAATCAGGAAACAAAAGGGGCAGTCACCAACGAGGTGGCTTTAAACCCTTCAGAAAAAGCGGTTCTGGCGGAAAGGCCGATATGGCCAACGAAAACTATGATCCCTACGACCAGGCATATTGGGGAAAAGACAAAGGAAACAAGGGAAAAAAAGGAAAATCAAAATTCCAATATCCCTATGATGGAAACAAAGGTTATCCATCCTATGAGAATGGCAAAGGAAAGAGCGGACATGAAAAAGGGAAATCCAAGACGTTTGCAGCCAGGAGCAGCCCGCCATCCAGTAGAGCCTACCTATGCCGGCTGGACAGACCAAGACTGGGATCAATCATGGACATGGAACGAACCAAGCGCTAATGGCATCCCATGCTGCTCATGAGAAAGAGGCCATCCACGGGAAGCTGATCCAATCAGATGCAGTTTCAGAACACAATTTGTCCGTCGCAACAAATCACAGCCTTCTGGCAACAAAGCTGACGGCGCCTGTCATCAACCCTCAGCACAATCCAACCTGTGCGATTCTGGACAACGGATGTACCAGATCTATGGGCAGCTGGCATGCAATCCAGCGTTTTACTCAGGCCATCGAACCAATGAAGGACCGAGACCAAGTTCACTTTTGCTCGACGTTCTTGAACAAGGAACTGTACCGATCCTCCTCAGCATCAGTCAGATGCGGAACCTGTACATGACCATCAAGCACACACCTCAATGTGACAAGATCACACGCAAGGCTTTTGGCATGAACCGTGAGGACATGCACTTGTCGACCTCGCTGGAGTTGCAAGAGTGAAGGCACATGGAGAAATTGCTCACAAAGGCCTCACCAACTAATGACAACAGCATCAAGTTTCCCTCCGGGGGTCTCTCCAAGAGTGAAACTGTTTGTGCAGCAAAATCATCCGAGACAAAGGAGGACCTAGCAACTCCTAAAATCATTGGGTCTCAAAAGCAGGATCATTGGATCCTTGACAAGAAGAACAAGCAGCTCATCCGTGCGCACATTACGCCTCGAAAGGCATTGTTCACACCAAATGGAGTCAAGGAATGTCCAATCAATCCTGATAACATCAGCCTGGAGCGTACGTAGGTGGAGATCCAGACATCCTAGAAGACAATTGGAGACTTACATCCCAGGCAAACAAACCGATGATTAACCTGTGGATAGGTAAGACCATTTGCAACTTTGCGGACAATTCGCTTAAGGACGAAGAAGCGGCAGCAGACAGGATCATCGACAAGAAGGGCCGGTCGACCATTGAGCCAGATCCTTTCGCACCATCCTTAGAAGAACCAACATCGCTTCCGCTTGCCCTAGGCAGAATCCACAAGCGATTGTCAAACCCCGAAGAGTTGAAGAAGCTCCACCTACAGCATCATCACATGACAACAGATCAATTTCGATTTAGAACTCGCTCACTTCATTTGCCGAAATCAACATTCGATCTATTTGACAAAATCCGAAGTGAATGTGAAGTTTGCCAAGCGGCAAAACACGCACCATCACGAAGCAAGACGAGTGGGCTTCGAGCGGACACCTTTGGTGCACTGTCAAGTTCCTCTTGGAACAGGAGAACACATCATTGTTTTTGTCATCCTGGATGGAGCAACAACATTGCTCGCTGCAGAGACAGTGACAACTACGCAAGAAGTCGAGAACATCACTGTCCTCAGGAACTATTTTGACCAGTACCACTTGCAGCCCAAATCGGTTGTCGCAGATCAAGCCTTCATGACAGAGACATGGGAACACTTGTATCAGTCCCTTTGTCAAGAGATGGCAAGATGACATCCCGTGGGACGTTGTCCACCGATCCCTCCAGCTGTGTATACTCAACCACGTAGAAAGGGTATACGGCCAAACCGTTATAGCCAAACCAGCGCAAACTGTTGTAAGGGGGTAAAGACCAATGACCACGATTGTACACTCAGTATCTGCAGCGCGAATGAAACTGTTTTCCACTCTCTCAGATCGATCACGTGCGAACGTAGTTCATGCAAGACCTTGAGCCCTACTTGTGACTTGAGCCAAAGTGGCGACCTCAGAACAGCTTCCCAATTTAGGCACGGGGCCAGGAGGGTTTTAACATCCCCCATTTGGGTCGCATCGTTCATCATGCGGTCCAAACATCACAACAATTCCCAATGGCCACGGCTCCGACTACGAAACTGTGTCGAACATTCTTTCACTCTCTACCGCAACGCCGTTCATTCATTGTGAAACTTGGCCGGGTTCAATCAAATCGGAAACGTGCATCCGCAAATCGTAGCACAGTCCTACACACAGAGGCAAGAGGCATTCTGCCTCATACCATCACGCAGCCATTGGAAATCCCAGCTGCCGCATTTGCGCATCGCGCAGCCGTCATCCACCGAAATGGGTTGGCCAAAGAAATCCATAGCAGCGCATGGCCATATGCCATCTGAATACCACCAGCAAAGAAATTTGGCGAGCAATATACATATGCAAAAAAATAGCCATTCCAGATACCACGAATAATATAAGGAAAAGAAATCAAATAGCGCCCATCCATGAATATCCGGAATGCCATAGTCGTCGGAATATGTAAATACATACATAGTCATGTTCCTTGGACATAAGAAATCACATCATATTGAAA